GAGACGGACAGGTTCATTCATACTTCAAAACAAATGCGGCACACACCTCCGCTAGGCGTCGTTGATGTTTCTTTTTGTTGTGAAATTTTACTGTGGACTAAGATAAGTCATTTTAGACAGTTCACCCAATGTTAATTATAATGAAAAAACGTTTGGTATTACACAATCATGGCTTGCGAAAAAACTCAAAACTTTATCGCAAGACAAATGAAAAATTGGAAAAGAAAAAACGCAAAGCCAAAGTAATAACAAACAAGAAAAATGAACACAAAAAAGGCATTGGAAGAATGCTGCTGTTTCAGCTCATTTGTATGAGGTGAAGGGCAGTCTCATGATCGGAGGCCGGAAGACAACGCGGTAAAGACTGCGCCCACGGTTTCGGGATACCCCAGCAGCGCATACCGGTTCACTGGACGGAAAAATAAAAATAAAAATAAAATAAGAATCTACGGGGATGCGGTGGGCGGGCGCGAAAAGAACAATCTCGACTGAATCAAAAACGAGAAACAACCGAAGCAAACACTTAGACTATCAGTTTGTGTGGAAATACAGAAAAAACATGAGAGAAGAGAAAGACATTAGCGTTGCGGTAAACTAAATGCGATCATATCCGCTTGCCCTTTCAGAGTTTATATATAAAACAAATAAATTACAATAATTGTTTCCCTCCACAATTTTTCCCCCTCAAAATCCACATCACCCCTAACAGAAAACAATTCCCCTCTGACACTCTTGTTCCCCAGAGCCACGCCAGTGGGAAAGCCCGCTGCCCATCACGCGTGTCGTTGGGAAGTTCCTTTGCCGTTGGGGACCGCGAAGTGCGTGTCCGTTTTGTGTTTTTTGTGGGTGTTTATTTTCTTTTATTTCACAACCCCCAATTCCCAAACCCCATGCTTTTCGTATTGTTTTGGTTTTCCCCCGTTTCTTTTTTTTTTATTGTTTGCTGGGGTTCTGATCTGCCGGGCCGCCGCCCCGCACACCACGCCCAACAATAAAGAGCGACACTGTGAAGGAGAATGGGATCCATTCCCCACACTCTTTAAAGAATCCACGTTGAAATCATCGCGGCATCGCCCTTTTGAAATTCCACTGAGGGAAAAGAACAACGGCCATCCGCCACATACCCCATTCATTAATTTCGCCCCAAAAAAGAGAGCGAGGAAGCCGAACAACATCCAACACCAAAAGAGGAATAAATAAAACCAGCAGGGGAGCCAAATCCCCAACAATTCCTCATCTTTTCTTCATAATTTCCATTGGAATTCCAAAGGATTCAAAAGGCGCAACGAAAGCATACCAGGAAAAGAATGCCTAATGTAATTTACCTTCTTCTTTGCTGGGCCTATAAATTGCAAGAAAAAACAAAGAGAGAAACAGAAAATATTTTTATTAGTTTTCCCCTTGTTTCAAGAGAGATCCCCCTTGGGGAGCGACAAGCGGCAGAATTGTTTAAAACACTTTCCCGCCATACGGGGCGAGAATATCTGTTGTGTTTTGATAATTTTCCCTCCCATCAAAGCAATAAATTCACCATTTAGGCAGAGCAGCAAAACAACAAAAAAAAAAAAAAAAAAAGCACCTAGTACTTTCCCGTTGTGTAATTTTCTCCCCCATCAAAGCAATAAATTTATCATTTGGGCAGAGCAGAAAAAAAAAAAAAAAAAGAAGCACCTAGTACTTTCCCGTTGTGTTTTTTTTGCTCCCCATCACATTTCAATTAAAAACTAGAAAAAGAGACTCAAATACCAATTCACAATTAACACTGTCGAAAAGGAAATGCCGAGAGCCCATTTTAACCCATCACCCCGCGCAGCACAAAGAAGGACGTATTGAGTGGATTTTTCAAAACGACAAACCTGAAATGACAACACCCACACATACAAACTAAGAAAACATAACATGTTATTATTTTTTTTCTTTTACCAAGCGTAAAATCAGACCATTCCTTTTCCCAATCCCATCCACCCTGAAAACAATTTAAAAACTCAACGAAATCAAAAATTAATATACATTGTCATTTGTATTTTGCCCCAAAATAAAACAGAAATTATAAATGGGCAATATGCCGAACAGTTAGTCATTGTTTTTGAGACCATACGGCATATTTGTTTTACCCTTAAACTCATACTAAAAAAAATAAAAACACAACATGTCAAAGGAATACTTTATTTCACTAATATTTCTGAAATTAAAACATATTTCAGTTGAAATTGACTTCTTGATGCACTTCCTACCTTCTTATTTGTATCAAGTCTTCGATTTTAGATAGTTTTTCTTCTTTACGCACCCCCTCCAAAGCCTCCACGAGGCGTACTGCCATTCCTAAAGACAAATTCACCCGATACTGATTTACCTTTTCATTCCAGAATTTGGCAGTAATCCCCTGTTCCTCGAGATTATAGTTTCCTGATTCATTCAAAGTGCATCCTTGCCATTTTTTTATTTGTCTCCTCTCATCGGTCTCGTAGGGTTGTATGTAAATGATCTCCCACGATATTTCCTTGGAAACATTAGTCCAGTCAGAAAAACAATTTTTAAGATATTTATTGAATTCAATTACTGCAGTAACTGTGGTTTCATGTCTTCTGGCAGTTGTCGTTTGTATTCCAATCATTGTAACCCTTTCCTCTTCAGATTTCACAAGGTAGAAAGCATCCACCAGAGGGAAATTAGATATAGAAGGATGGTAAAGCATATTGTACTCTATCCTCCTGCTGGCATCATTTATACCAGTGGGAAAGAGGTCATACCCATTACTAGCATATGTAATCAAATCTCTCCGTTGTAAAACACTCTGCTGACTCACTCGACCTTTAGGTGGTTGAATTATTTTCGGTTCTTTACCAAGCGCAGTTACAAAGTTCTTATCTGTAAAAGCAATAACGCCAAGTTTTTCAAAATGTTCGGCAATGATCATGCCCCTATCTGTGAAAAAGAATTTCAAGTATGGGGCACGACAAACCTTCATCACTCGAACAAGTATGCTTTTATTTAATTCATCATTAAATGCTGCAATCCTCGAAAAATCAACATTGCCAATGGCCAAACGGTATACTTTCAGTAAATCTTGGGAAGGACTTTTATCATTCCATTCACCATCACCTCTTAGGATATCCATATACTCTGAAATAGTGCGTTCTGTAATGCAATTCAACGAACTTTTCACTTCATAATATTGTCGCAGATATAAAGGACTATTACTAAAAATATAACGTGGAAATGGTCCAATATTATTAATACGTTCCTTTATTTCCTTCCAAAAGTTTTCAAGTTCTTTGGATTGGTTGCGCTTTTCCCATGCGCATATGGCCTTGATTTCACGCACAGTGTGACAATTCATAACG